CGTAAAACAAACCCTCTGCCTGGTGAGCAACTCAAAATACACGGGAGTTGGTATAGATTTAAAACAGGATTGTTATGAATTACTTGGGCAAAAGCATCACTCTTCTCCCTACAAGGCCTTTAAACCAGGCTAAATTTCCTTCTCCTTTATCGCTTAGTATTTATTCTATTCTGACTGCAATTGAAAGGAACAAGTGCTCCATTCAAACCTCTTCCTACTCTATGACACCATGTGCTGGACTGAGATAAATAGCAGACTCGGGACAGAGATAAAGACAATTCCAAGTGAGCTGCCCTGAAAAGAACAATTGTTGCATTATCAAGAAAGAACCAGGGGAGAATGAATCAACACCCTTTTCCTTATTAAAAAACTAGGAAATTAGAGCTGTGGGAAGGGAGCTTATCTGATGATACCATAATAACCCACTGATCTCTTAAAACAAAGCCAGGGGAGAAAAAGAAAAAGATTAAATGGTGAAGCACTCCAGGCTGCCCCTTTTCTTAAACAGATTCTGAAAACACAACTGTTTCCCAGATACCGGTAATCAATGTGCTCCTTAGTGATATGTGCTAACTACAATGTCTAGAAAATATTTTGCTGCTATCATTAAAATAGTACAGGCGTAAAAAGGTCATGTTTGCTTGATTCTGAGCTTGCATGAAGATAAGACTCCCTGGGGATCAAATTCAATTATGCATTTTTTGGAAATAACAGGGACACGTCTTGCCATTGGATTTTCTGTTCAGTCCAGGGATTTCCTGGTGATTTCCCATTCAAATCCTAAATCCGTCCCTTGTTTTACTTTTCAACATCATCCAGGATTATCTAGATGCTGCCATCTGTTGTGGGTAGCAGGGAGAATTTAGAAGAATCACTTTTAGGTTGTTTCTGTATGTATTATATGTACGTTATATTCACTCATAAACTACCAAATGCTATTTAAGATTTATCTTTAAACTAAGACAACTTATTTAAGCCTTTCCAAGTGCAGTCATTTTTGATTTTGAGACAAAAGCCATCTATTTTTGCCAAACAGGAAGACCTTTGCTTCCTCTGTTCCACCAGGAGCGAGAACATTTTATTCCCGCAAGAAAACAATTAATAGATATGTTCCTTTTCATTCATCAGCTCCAAGCTGCTTTGGTTTCAGAGCTGGAGGCTGTTTATGGCTCACTGGTTTAGAAAAAAGAATTGGTGTCTAGGATACAAGGACTGCTTTATTTCGACTGAGAAAAATGGTCCACCTATTCCAGTAATGTCTACCATGATTAAAAATGGATTTTCATAGCCTCATGGCAAAGTCTTTCCATGCGTTGCAACTCACATTTCTATAATTAGAACTGCTGGGTAAAGAGCCCAAGAACTCCCACATGTCAAAGATATACAACACTATTGAACTTTTAGCTTGTCCATGGTAGGCCTCAGTGATTGGCTGGGAGAATCCAGCCTCTCTTGGGAGGATTTATCTGAACAGAATCAGGGATGCAGAAAATATAAGTAGGCAATTTATCAGAGAAATATGAGAATCAGAAACAAGGAAAAATCTCTTCTCTTCTGAGAGGGCAGCACTGTAAGAGATTAGACAGTGTTTGAGAGTTAACCAAGTATAAATTCTGAATTACTGTTTCTCCTTGTTCAGGGACAATCAACTCTCTACTTCCTAGGTACCATTAGAGTGATAATCTAGTCATGTTTGTCTCAGTGGTAGCCAAGCAGTCTATAGCAGAAGTACTAACCATATGCCCCCTGAATTCTCTCCCTTTGTCTGCCTTCTTGCACATTTCTGCTATCTAAAGTAACAATGAAATATAAAAATCAAAATTTTAAATATAGTTTAAACATAGTTTAAAATCCCCAATCTTTCAAATAAACTAGAAAAAACTCTTGGGCCATGGAAAATCCTACTTACCACAGTAGTAGTAATCATAGCTGTGTAATTTGTGTCATGGCATTACCCACTAGGATCCTTTTTCACCAATACTATGATAACCACAGGCATTTGCTACAGTCTTCAGCAGTCTCTTCAACTATAAGCTGCTTATTATATGTATAAAAAGCAGGTGATTGATTTTCCAAGTATCACACCCTCCCCATCATGTCCTTATATTTTTAGAGCACAATTCCCAACATACCAGCTAATCTGTCTGATGAGCAATTTCATCTGGACATCCAATAAAGTCGCAGGCAATGATATACCTTAGAAATGGTGAAGCAAATTTTCTTCTCTCTATATCTATAATGATTGCCTGTTTCTACCATAAAGGTTATAGTGGTCTCCATCTCTGTGCAGGAATACTTTCACCTTACAAGGATGCTAGAAACAGAAGTCCAAAGTGACTGGAAAGAAGGCAGGGCAAAGGGAAAGAATTCAGGGATGATGTGCTGCTTAGTACCTCTGCTATAGACTGCTTGGCTACACCCAGATTCTCTGGTTCTTCAAAACACATATACTAGTCAACATGGGCGAATCTTGATGAAAAGTTGTTTCACAATACTGAAGGCACTTTAAATGGTTCATTACAGCTTGTGAATATTTGTAGGCAATACTACTTTCCAGTTTTGAAAAACCACTCCATTTCCCAAACAATTAGAATTATGCTGTATAAAGACAGTATAAGTATGAAAAGAATCTTGAGTGTTACCATTTCAGCATGCCTTCTAAATGCACCAGGGGTTGGGTCATTTGAGTTTACCCAGAATCTAGAGATTATATTAATATTCAACTGCTAAATGCCATTTTTTTTAAAAAACCATGACCTCCTTCCACCAAAATAAGGTTGGAAAGTGTAGCGAGAGATGAGCTTGGGAGCCTAACTGCTCCTATTTCTATTCTTAACCCCTATGAATACACCAAAATGGCCAAAATTACACAGCTGAAAGCCAGCTCTTTGGAGCCAATTGTCTACAGTCCATTGTCCATTCTCATCCTTGAAAACAAGTCAATAATAAGTAAAAATGATTGCTTCACCTCTTCCTGTGATCTCCCCTTCTTTCCCATCTCATTATGTTTCACAACCAAACTGGTGAAGAAGAGCAAGTTCTGTCCTGAATGTTGGAAAAGCTGCTCACTCCTGAGCAAAGTAGACAAGATGGAAACTTGCCAGTATGTACAATATAACCCTTTGAAACTATATTAATTTGTTTTACACCCCACCTTTTGTATCGAAGCTCAGTGCAATGTACATAATGTCCTATACACTAGTGGAGGCATCCTTCTCTTCCCTTAGGAGGTAGGTTGGGCCGAGAGCATGACTCACCCCAAATCACCCAGTTTCTGTGGCTGAGGATGAGCTGGGTCTCCCCATTCCAAATTCAACACTTAACTATTATACCATACTGGTACCTGAGGCCAGTTAAGAACTCACCAACACTTAATGCTTCCCTGTTAATGCATTGATTTATTTTAATGACTTGTGAAAGTACTCCCAGAAAACTTTTCCAAGTTTAGCAATCCTTCCAAAGAAGCCAAGCACGCCCACAGAATGTTTGGAAATGGGATTTCCCGAATAACACTTTAGAATGACTTAAACTAAAACTGACAGGAGTTTAGTCAGAGCCATCTGGGAAAGGGAGTGTCTGAAAAAAATACCGCCAGTAGTGCAATCTGAAAGACAAACGGAGCAAGGACTGGAACCTGGGAGAAAAGCCAACGGAAATAAAGGAGCTGGATTGAGACACTGTGGGAAAGGGCTGCAAGGGAAGGAATGAACTCCTGCTGCCATCACACTGAATGAAGTAAAGCTCTCAGGCTAGGCTAGGCCCAATTAGTATCAGATGGAATTAATCACAGACTATAAGCTTCCCTGTTCCTTGTTTTCTTCACTTTCTTTCCAAATCCAAACAAAATAATTACTTTTATGTGTATGGTTTGGCAAACCAGGCACAAATCACCAGAAGTTCAAATAAATGTTTGTCTTTGCACCAGAAAGACCTTTCTGATGGTTTGAAACACTAATTTCTGCTTTTTCTTGATCCCCAAACAATCCTTTCTAGGGAAGATTGC